GCCTTGTGCGGTTCCGTGCAAACCCTCGAAGCCGGCTGTACAGGCCAATGTGTGGTGTATCATCCCCACCTTCATTTCGTGGCAGCAACTGTGCCCATCACACAACTTTGCTCCCACGGTTTGCTTCAGCAAATTCCAAAGAATTCCTATTTTGCCAACACTCTCCACAAATTCGATCCGGATTTTGGACTGCATTTCTTGGGCTGCTTCCTTAAAATAAACCAAAAATGTCTTTGTTTCTAAACACTCCTATCAAAACGGGGAGTGGTGTTTCTAGCCTGTCCCAGCTGGCAAAGACACAGTGGCTTCGTTATTTTCTTTAATTTTTAAAATTTTGTTTTCTTTACTTGATCGACTTGCATTGTGTTTTAGTTGATGATAAACCACCCAGAGAAGTGCATTGCACTAAGGGGGGACTGTTAAAAAATGTCATAAATAAATGTGATTACTGAACATTCATTTTCAGCATCTGTCAGAACAGGCGATTCTGTTTCTAGACTATTCTGGACTATTTTCTGGCTCCTCTTCTTTTATTTGCCTTTCATTGTGTTTTAGCTGACAGTAAACTGCCCAGAGCAGTGCATTGTAAATGAATGAATGAATGAATGAATGAATAAATAAAGATTGATTGATTGATTGATTGACTGAAATATAAATATAGAAATAAATAGGATTTCTTGATAGTCATTTTTAGTCTCTGTCAGAACCGGGGACTGTACTTCTAGCTTTTCCAAGGTGGCAAAGACGGGGTTGCTTCTCTTTTTTATCTTATTTTATTTTATAAATGCAAAACCCACCCGCACCCTCACACAGACACGCCCCCTCCAAGCCACGCCCCCTCCCAGCTCCAGCGGGTCCGTGGGCGTGGCCCGCCTTCTCCTCTCCCGCCCTTCGAACTCCGCCTCCGGTTGCTAGGGAGCGACCAAGCCCCGCCCCCACCCCTTACTAATTGGCCGGCGGGCGCCTTGGGGGGGTCACATGACCGATTCGGCCCGGCGAGGCAACATGGCTGCGTCCGAGGGGTAAGGAGGGAGGCTGCTGGGCTGGCAGGCAGGCAGGCAGGGCAACGCCGGCGACGGGGCTGGAGCTGGAGCGCCCGGGCGTTGTGGCCACGTTGCAGGGAGGGAGGCAGGCAAAAAAGTGGGTGGAAGGAGATGGGAAAGGCGGAGAGGGGGTGCCCGCTTGCCTGCCTTCCTATAAGTAGGGGGGGTCCTTTCACGCCCCTGGAAGGGGAAATGGAAGGACCCCTTCTTCTCGCTGCTTCTCTGCCTCTGGAGGGAGGGCTTCCCGCTTTGAAGACCTTGCCCCACCGCCCCAGCCTTGCTCCGGGGGAGTCTTCCTTGGACCTCTGCTCCTGGAGGGGTTGGGTCCTCACGTGCGCTTGTCCACGTGTCTGCAGACGGTTCCGTGGGCAGGGCAGGGCTTCTCTGCCCCCATTAGTTTCCCCCCTTTCCGAAACTCCGTGCTTCTCTCTTTCTCTCCCTCACATCTTCATCAGGGATATTTGTTATTTAGTTTATTTAATTTTGGACATCTAGACGGCTTCCTCTGACCAGGGGTCACTCCGGGCAGCATACAACAATCAAAGAGAATATTAATAATAAGAAAAGAACGCAATAATAAAAGCTAAAGCTAGGTGTTAACCTGAGTTATTCTGGGTGCAGCAGCACTGAATAAAGACATAGCACTGCCCTGAAACCAAGCTGTTCCTTTTGTTTCCCCAGCCAAAAAGTTATTTTCCTTCCTGCCTGTCTTTTTCCATTTTATTTTGCCTAGAATTATCAGATGTAGCAAGCCGTATTGTTGGCTTCTCACTGACATCAGTTCGGTCTGTTGCATATCAGACAGGCCTTTGCAGAATAAACAGTGTAAAATCAACACAGTACAATACTATATAAAAGAGATTAAACTTATCAAACTTACAAGTCCTAAAATTCAAGGTATATCTATATATCTAAACAGAAATTATTAGTAGATTTAACTTCTCACTGAATAATCAAGATACTCTAACATTTTGCATTTTATGTTTCTTTTTTAAAAAGAAGGAAATTATTTCTTGGTAAATGTTCATTAGTCTTAGTACTTCCTTCTTGGTCAGAAGCTTAATCCACATTTCTAATGTTTCTGTTTTTCTGTAGCTGACAGAGGAGTAGCTGTTTGTTTCAGCAATGACACAGTAGACCAAACAAAATGAGAAAGACAACCGAAAACATTGTAGCACAATTTAATACATTTATTTCTGTAGCACCACCAACAAATGTATACAGTATCTGAAAAACTGGATTGTAATACGCCCAATACTTCCCGGATATGTTTTGGGTTTTGTGTTAGCCTTTTTGCACTTTTTCAAAGTGCCTCAGCTAAAATCTCAGTCTGGTTACAGGGTGGGAAAGAATGAAAAGAGATACAGAAAAGGACAGTTCTATTTTTGTATTACTGGTTCTAAACTTTTGGAGGGTTGGTTTGCGATGTTGATCCCGGTCCTATGAAGGTTAGTTACTTAGTTACTCAAGTAATTGACTAGGGTAACTGACTTGTTTTGCTGGATGTTTGTGCAAAACAATATGTTAGAAGTTTCTCAGTTTATTATATGGTTTGTCAATTTCTGCGTCTCATTTCAGACTAGTTTGCTTATGAATCTGTGACTTCTCACAGTCTAAGCCCCATCCATCTGATGAAGTGGGCAATGTCCACGAAAGCTTGCACACTATGAAAACCTGTTAGTCTTAAAGGTGCCACAGATTTTTACTATGGCTGTGTTGCATGGAGACGATGGTAATTGTAGTCCAGGACATCTGGAAGGCAATACGTTGAGGAACTGGATTAGTCCTGGAACAGATTGACTTGATGGTTTCACTCACTATTAAAAGAGCTTCCTATGTTTGGGGCAGTTTATTTCTAGTGTCTTTGAATGTCTCAGTGATGTTGGAAGAAGTTGGAGCCAGCAGGAAAAAAGGAAGGCTGAATACGAGATGGATTGATTCAATAAAGGAAACCACAACTTCGATTTGCAGGACCTGAGCAGGGCTGGACTTTTGGGAGATTGTTCTTTCAGAGGTTGCCATTTACGTCTGAAGCAACTCAATGACACCTAGTAGCAACACAACAGTGGGTGCTGTCTTTTTCCCGCCTTTTGAGTGTGTCACTTACAAAATGTTGGTGAACACAGAGGGGTAGCAGATACGGCCAGGTTTCTGTCCTCCTAAACTTTTGTCTTGATGCATTGTGAGTCTTTTGTCTCTGGCTGGCTTGCACATCTCGTTTCTGCCACACATGCATGTCCACACTTGTCTGGGGTCACTGAATGCCAGGGTGCTGCTCACTTCTGCCCACAACAAGCAAATCTTGCTGGGTGTGTTTTTGTGGAGTGCCTGTGCTGTAATAAGAGGTGCAGATCAGCCATTTCTCACAGATTTTTAAAAATGGTATTTCTTCTAGGCACTTTCCTAAGGTGCCTGGCTTGAAAAATGAACTGAAGACTAAGCCTAATATGTGGTTAGAAGAAAACATGTAATAATGATGGAAAATTAAGGGCAGGGATTGGTGAAAGGTGAACCTAGGCAGCAGGGACATGAGAGCTGCTATTTCCAACTATCATATAATACAGCAGTGTATGTGTGTGCATGCATGCTCTATGTACATGTTGGACACAGGTTCAAGGTATACAGGGTGCTTTCCATCTAGTAGACCTCTCCTTGGCCATGGAGGCACACCCTTTGTACTGTACATTCCCTGGAACCTCCTGGCTGGGCTCCTCGCATGAAATTTTCATCTGCCCTGTTGGCTGGTGCAAACAGTTGGGGTTTGGGTGACCAAAATACAGTATTTCTTGAATCTAGAATCAGTTCTGCTGAAGACTTGGTGCTTAAGGCATTGGTTTGTCACTGACCAAAATACAGTATTTCTTGAATCTAGAACCAGTTCTCAGTTCTGCTGAAGACTTGATCCTTAAGGCATTGGTTTGTCACTGCATTTGGGGGAGTGTGGGGTGTGTGTGAGAGAGAAACCTGTGTCGTTCTTGTACAAGTGTGTGTGTGTGAGAGAGAGAGAGAAACCTGTGTTGTTCTTGTACACAATCCCAAGGCAAGGCTGAAGGATACCTTTGGTAGACCACTGATATATCGCAAGCAGAAGCTAGCTTTTGACCTTGCAGGAGTCTTCATCAGGTTGGCGTTGCATAGTTGTGGGTGGTGCTGAACAAGTGTGAAGTTTCCACAATTTTTGTCCAGATGAGGCAGTAGCCGAGGTAGATGCAGGGAGAGTTCCTCCTTGTGGGTCCCATCCCTTCTTTGTAAGTCCCAGAGCTGAAGTGCTCCGAGGTCACCCTTCCTAGGTTGCTGGGGGGTGAAGCATCATCACAGTCTTTCAGAGCCTCCCTTCCTGATCTTTTTCCTAGTTGCATTAAAGTAAGAGACCTTCAAAAGGGGGTGAAATGACCGGCACCTCCAAGCTTGGATGCCGTTCCCTTCTGGGAGAGAGTGGCAGCTCCAGGCAAGAAAGCAGCCTCAGAAATAAGTCCTGCAAGAGGCCATCCCCCAGTGGCTTAAGGACTGTCTCCGCAGGGCATTTCTGCATCAGTAATTGCCTTCTGCTTCCAGGGTGTAGCTTTAACTACTGAATAAAAACTATTGATTGCTCTTCAACCCCAAACGTACTTTCAAAGCGAGTGATGGACGTTGAAGAAATCCTATTAAGAGTCAGTTATGTTTTCTTTGCATCCCATTGCATGCGTGTGACCTGGTCTGTTCCTTCTGCTCAGACTGCTAAAAGAAAAGAGAGGCAGGGGGTAAGAATAAGACTTCGAGGTAGTGGCATGAAAGAGGTTCCCTTTATCTGAAGCGAAGTCTTAGGCTTTTGATTAAGGAGATCTGAGTTTTAGACTTAACAAAACTTGGGTACTTGACGTTGCTAATCAATGGCTCGGCTTTCAAGCCCCTTGTTATTTTCTGCCAGGTTTGTGCACTGCAAGCTGGCAGAGAAACACATTAAGCTCCTGCTGTGGGCTTTACAAAGCATTTCTTCAATGGGCCTGGGGGGAGCTGTATAGACCTCGGCTGGAAGAGCGGGTGGCCGCCCGCTGTGTCCTACAGACCCCAGGTAGGAGGCTTGGAGGAAACGTTGCTCATTTTTTTATGGGCCCATTCATACTTGCATGGTTCGAATGAACATAAAACATTTCCTTGACTTTATTTGTTTGCAATCACAGTGGGATGGAAGAATGGAATGGCTTTGGTGTGAACCCTTATGGTTTTTTTTTAAAATATGGCACACAATCGGAGCTGGTTGGGTAAATAGTCTTTGCCCCTCCTTGAAGGGAGCCCCATCAGATAGGCCATGATTATGGGGTTGTAGATGGGGGGGAGGTGGAAAGTTGTGTCTTTCCAGAGGCCTCCTCTTGAGTCAGTGGCAGAGGGGAGACTTGAATGGTAGCCTTTGGGCCTTAAAGGTCTCTCTTAACCACTTACACTACATGTTAAAGTTGCGGTCATTACACAGCTTTGTCCAAAGATCATTACCTGGGGGTAGGAAGTTCTCTGTCTTCTAAAAGTCAGATTTACATCATCGTGGCCATCATCATCATTTTAGAACTGCAGGAGCATCTTTTTATTTGTTCCTGACCGCTGCACCCAAATATCACCGACAAAGGGCAGTGGTTGGAAAAAAGGGGCTGTTGGTCACTGTATCAGGCAGCAGCTGTAGCTCTCGGGGCTTTGCTGTGCAAGGCAACCAACACACCTTGTCTAATGTCCAGGTGAGCTCTGATGGATTGGCTTATCTGGTGCCACTATGATTGTGTTATCAGCAACAGTTTTGTGACTGGCTGGTGTTAAGGATGAAATAATCAGTTAGCGCCATATGCCCTTGATTTCCCTCCTGACCTCTGTTGACAACCTTGCCTTCAACCACATGGGGTCATAGATAATATTTGAGATTCCGTGTAACCCTCTGTTCATCTGAAGAGGGGACCCCTCTAGCCCATGGAAGCTTCTGCCATGAGGAACGTGCGCCAAGGGGCTCACGG